GATACTATGGATCCTTTTGAGATGTATTTCATGTATTTCATTATCTTGGTACCATTTTTAATAGGTATATTATTAATAACTAAAATCATTACATTTGTTGGAGGGTGCTTGACATTTTTTTTGAAAGGATCTGCATTAGCAAATCTTAATAAGGTGTTAAAAGTAGTTTTTCCATTAATGGAATTGTTATCTGAAATCACTTTATGTATGTTAAATGAAATACAAGATCAATTACCTGAAGAAATAATAATAAAATTACTCGTTAGACTCTTAGGAATTGCAATAGTTATCTTAGGAGCTTTCTTCATATCTCCAATATTCGAAAAACAATTTGGCTTCGATAAAAAGGGTTTTTTTAGTGATAATCTCGGAGAGCGTCTTGGAACTTCGTGGATTCAAATTGGAGCATGGAATGTAACTACAATGATTGAATGGATAGCATACCGTCGTCTTCTTTTTACTGTTTTGCTTCTTACTACGGCTTGGCAAAATATCGTAAAGTGAAAACAGAAAAAGAAAGTGCGTGGTTGAAGGAGAGAAAAATCATGTGCATAAAGAATAAGCATGAATGAAAAGGGAGAAAAAAAAATATATGTAGAGAAGGGAAGAGATGGAATTCTTTAATTTTTATTTTAATATCGATGATTATTTATTTATTATCTTCAAATTTATTTTTTAAAGAAATAGGATTTATTTTATATAAAATAGGCTAATTAGTGTTTTGTTTGTATTGCTAATTAAAATATTGTATGTAGTTAATATTAAATATAAAGGAAAGTTTATTTCTTAAAATGTTAAAGTAATTATAAATATACAATAATATAATCTCCAGAAGAGTCAAAATGAGTTAGGTCAATTCAGGTAGTTGATATATCTGACACGACCTCTTGTTTCGGTTCAAATTAGACATTAACTTGAATTAAAATTATATTTACCTGACTCGAAGTGTAAATTGGAAAATCTTATCTAATTGTCAAAATTTCAGTTGATCGGGTTAATTTAGTTTTATTCGAGCTTAAAAATTATTGCCACAGGTATTCATGGCATTGGGGCCGCATTAGAGTTATCTATTTAATTTAGGTGGTAGAATTTAAGTATTATATTATTCTACTTAATCTTAACATTACGGTGCATTTGTGTAATTTGAATATCAAAATTATGAAGTGTGTTATTTACTATTTTTTTTTTTTTTTTTTGATTTCTTACTGTAAAATCATATGGATAATCTAACCTTTTTTTTCACGAGAAGATGAGTTAAACGTTTTCCGTATGATTTTACAAAAAGAAATGTCAAAAGAATAAAAAATAAAAAATAGTAAATGATGCACTTCATGGTCTAGTCAAACACTCAAATTACAAAAATGCGTCATAATGAATACTAAAAACAATGCGTAAAATAAAGGCTTTGCCTTAAAATAAGCACATAAAAGTCATGTTACGTGGATGGTAGTGGATAAATCATTAATATACTGTAGAGTTGGATATAACTATTACATGATAAATAGTTCATCTGGTCTAGTTAATTTTATAAATACAGCTGTGTAACTAGCATGATTTATACAATAACTATTGTTATAACGATAAATATTTTGGTTTACAAAGTTAGATCGTGTGATATTACATCGAATATCAGCTTATTTGATGATATCTAGGTCAGTGTTGGAAATCTAATGTTCTTAGGCAATTTTTTTTATATGTTTATTAATAAAAAATTGGAAATTGGATGTTCTCAGTGAACAATGAGAACATCAGATTTCCTACACTGATCTAGGTGTGATGAATTAAAAATGCATTGCTATATTTATGTGTCGATATATATGTATTTGTAATCACAATTAGATAATCTTATTCTAATGTGATCATAACAATTCGCCGTACGTGTGATTTAAAACAGTTAATATTATTCCTTATGATGCTTTGTATTTAACGGGTATGATATTAATCTGGAAAAAAGCAAAGAAACATAGCGATATTACAATATTGGTGTTTTTAAAAATATATAAAATTATATATACTATATAATCAATTTATAATTCGTCTAATTTAACCAGTATTACTAGAACTGCCACCCAAAACAAGCTTTAATTCAAAATTTCTGAGAATTTCCTCTAATTGTAAATATCCGGATAAATCATTATTACCCGCTATATGAATACCATTTAGACTCACTTCTCGCAAATCTTGTTTATAAGAAAATACGGGCCCTCCACTGTCGCTATAAGCACCTTTCGCGCTTGAAAATGTTAATGGGTATAAGAACATTTCTCTATTAACTGCAAAAAATCCATTCGTCCCAATCATTTTTCCACAAGTAACATGCGCAGAATTGCCAGACCTACATGTATGAGCACCATAACTTGATACAACTTTGTCATCAACAACAATTAACTCTTTATTTTGCTCAGATTCAGAGTTCCTTATAACTACTGGTGTATTGAAACTATTTCTTAATTCCGGATTATGTATAGAGATTACACCAGCGTCGATCATGGTTGAACTTTTGTATTCTATCTCCATATTATTTGTTTCGACAAGAGGAGATCGAGTATTAAGTATATCAGAATCTGAAATATTATCATGTTTTACAATTTCGTTATATTTGCTAATTTGTCTGATTGTATCGAAAAACTCTCTATTTTCTTCATCATATTTATGGTTTGATTCTAGAAATACGTAATTAGATTCTATAGAAATATAACAAGCAATATACAAGGGATTAAGTCTTGTACCTATATCTAATATTTGCTTAGAATGTTTTACTGGGTCATAAGCAAATAAATGACTATATTGTGGAAAATGAGATTCTAGAGCATGTTTAACTACACTCATTTTATCGTTTAATACATTAGTATGTATTTTATTCTTTGGCACATCTATGAAAGTTCCTCCTACACTTGTATCATATTGTTCTAGTAATGCTTCCAGGAGTCCATCTACATGCGTTAAAATCTTTTCGTAACCTAAAAGCGTAGGTAACTCATTATACTTGCGTTCCATAATTTCGCTAAAGGTTTTTCATAAGCATAAACTGCCACCACCAGATAAGTTTGTAAAGCAGAAATAATTAATAACAAATTAATTAAAAAGTTTAATTTCATGGTTGCAATAATTTATATTATATATGATAGTAATGGTAAAATAAAGGGAAAA